TGCCAGGACAGCATTAGTTCTCACTTTAAAATCATGCTATCAGCTTCAGTTGGGACTTCATTTCAGCTTGTCTCAATGGCTCTTGCATCACATTCCCATGACACTATGCTTTTCATAATAGAAAGACAGATGTTGTCCCATAACATGCCTGCTTCCCCTCTTGTCTTTTGGTTCTTTCTATAACCTCTCCTTTCTGTATTTCCTCCAGATTGACCTCCCTATTGCCCTCAAACCCACACTTTCCACCTACTCTTGCTCTGTACTGTGCATTTGCTCCCTTATTTCTTTTTGCCCCAAAGCTTGATAATTTGCTTATAAACATGGCCAAATCTCATTACAAATTACCTTACTGTCTTCTCTCTCCCCTCAAACTTGAGTTAACAGTTTATAATTTAGTTTATATCTGTTGCTTCAACTTAAGCCACTTTCTTGCTAATTCTTTATCTATTCCAGATGTAGCTCCAACATCTAGGATAATGCTTGACACAGATAGCTTAGTAAAGACTGACTGAACAAATCTTTGACGTGACTTCCATCACTATTATTCAGAGACTACTGCTTAATCTTGACACCTCCAAATCCAATTTTCTCCTGTCTGTATTTAACTCTCATCCTCTAGATTAACATAGTTCCTTTAATGTTTTCTTTATCACATTCCTCTCTGTGTCCTCCTCCATTCTGCTGCCTACTAAATAATACTCAAGTTCTATGCTTGGCTTTTTCCTCATTTGCCATTTCTCTCTACTCATTCCCTTGGCGTTTAATCCAATTGCATTTCTCCAACCACGGTCTCCCCTGTAGATGACTCCAAACCTCTGTCTTCATCCAGTCTCTTGGATGAGTTTCAGCCCCACATTCCAACTACATTCTGATTACCTCCACCCAGACATTTAGCTGGAATTATAACTGAAATTGTCTTTTTCACTGGTACTAGCACCTTCCTCCTCCTATGTGCCAAGAGACCAAGTCTATGACATCGCTCTGCTTTTTGTCTCTGCCATGCTAGTCTCACTGTTCTACTTCTCATTCTTTCTGGCTGGGATTATGACACAATGTTGTCTGATTAGTCTTCCTGAAGCCTCTCTCTCCCTCCCTCCCTCCCTCCCTCCTTGTATGTCTGCCTGTCTCCACTTCCCACCCTGGCAAAACCTCCAAGACCAAATGAAGTCGAAACATCTTGTAGCCAATGCTACTGTCACAACATATCCTTCTACCACCTGTAATTCCAGCACTTCGGAGGCTGAAGCAGGACGACTGCCATGAGTTCAAGGTCAGCTTGGGCTACATAGTGAAACCCTGTCTCAAAAACAACAACCAAAAGCAAAAATTATCCTTCCAAAGTGAAACCCAGTACTAAGAGGCAGGGCCTTTTGGAAAGTGACTAAGTCATGAGGGCTCTGCCCCTCTGTGTCTATCCTTTAAGACATGGGAGAACACAGTGACAAGAAGCTACCTACAGACCAAAGAATGAGCCTTCACTGGAGGCTGACGCTGCTGCTGTCTTAAGCCTGGATTTCCCAGCCTTCAGAACTATGAGAGATAAATTTCTATTATTTATAAATTACCCAGTCAAAGATGCTTTGCTATAGAGGCCTGAACGGACTAAGAGAGCCAGGCACTGAAGACCTGACACATCTGGACCTAAAGAACTTTTATAGTCTTATTTCCTATCAATACTTTTTGTATAACCTATGCTATATTCAAACTATATTCTATTTCTAAAATTAATTATTAGCTTGAAAAAAGAAATCATGTTATGATTACCAGTAAATAAAGAAAGCAGGAGAGAATCAATTTATATGATCCCTGGGAATCATGTAACTCACTAAGCAAGGCATAGCAATAAGATGTGATTCATTCAACACTGCTTCGTGACACTCTACCATGAGCCAGGTATGGTTCTATAAACCTGAAGTAGAATATGGAGAATAGGATACATGAGGTTTCTTCACTCAGGCCCCTTAATGTTCCACTGGGATGAAACAAGCAGATAAAAGAATTTCAGATTCTGATAAATACTAAGACAGAAATAGTATAATAAAACAGTACAGCTGTGAGAGTAGAGTACCACAAAAAGGGAGAGCACATTAGGGAGAGTATTTCCTAGGAGATGAAGGCCTGAGTTAGGACCTGATGGGCAAAGAGGAACTGGACTGGAGAAGGACCAGTAAAGCAGATTCTGTACAAACAGCCAGGGGAAGGATGTAGGGCAGCATATTCAAGCCACAGCAAGGCAGACAGAATAGCTAGTACATGGTAATACAAAGGAAGATGCACTGGATGAAACTGGGGAAGGCAGAACAGAGAGTATATGCAAGGTCTGCTGAGTTTGTGGGAGGAAACTTTCAAGGAATTTTAAGCAGGACTGATGGGGATGAAGAAGCCTTGCAATAGGATGTGATGGTAGTGGGTTCTAGAATAATATCTGTTCCAGATGAAAATACTTACAACCTTTGCTGTGTATACTGGTGTCCTAAAAGTAGTAAATGTGTATTTCCTTAATTCATGCTACACTGAAATTGCTCCAGCCAGCAGAAACATTCAGATATAGATGTAGCCTCAGCACTTTGCATGTGGTCTGTGTTTGTTCAAACAGCTTTTTCATTCAATGATACCTTAATTTGCTGAACACCTATTATTATGCGTAAGGCACCACAGATAGGACTCTGCTTTCAATTACCCTGAAACAGACCTTTAAGGAATGATGACAAATTTGATGAACACCATCAAAACTAAAACGATAGGGGACAATGGGGTCAGTATAGCCCAACAGGCTGCCCTCCACAGCAGTGATATATCTGTTCAGACAGAAGCACATAAGTATCTGGGATAATAGAGGAGAAGAATGAGGAAAGTCAGGGTCAGAGGAGGATGGAGTGGTAAGAACTAATTCTAGAGAGGTTGACAGCTAGTTAGAGGAGGTCTCTAAGGTTCAAGAGACTCTGGATTTTATCCTCAGTGCAGTAATAAACTACTTACCTGACTCATCATTTTACAAAGACTCTTATCAAGTGAAGAATGGTTTAGAAGAGAAAGGTATAGACTTAACGCCAAGTGAAAGGATGGTAGCTTGAACTAGATATGAGCTCATAAGCAAGAAAGAATGCAGATACTAAAATATCAAGGAAGTAAAAATATCCATTGGGATTCATGGACAGAGGAGCGGGTAAGACAGGAGAATCTGGCTGACTTGGTTTCTGGCTGGAGCAGCTGATGGATGATGGAGCTGAGAGTAACCTATCTAGGAGGTGGAGTAACCTGAGGACTGAACATGTTTCGAGCGTGTATGAGATGGGTGTGTGAAATAAGGAGTTGGTTCTTTACAATTCTTTTTCCTAGGCTTCAGAGCTTTATAGAGATAGTAATTAAAGTTGAAGGAGTAGCTGAAATTGCCTGAGAAATGCTCAGTGACATAAAAGGGATCAGGCAGAGCCAGAAAAATACCCATAAAAAAACTAAGTCTTAGTAAAAACTTCTTTTCTCCAAGTTACAATGCCTGGCGTACAGTTCTATTTTAAAATCTAAGCATTTATGTGTGATTATTTTTCTATTTTCCTTAACTGGCTTCCAACCCCCTAGGAGGCATGGAGTGTGTCATCCTTGTTCAGTTTCTACATATTACAACTTAAAGTTCAGTGACACCTAGCCTTTCAAAACATTTGCTAGATAGTTGAACAATCATGCTTATTTGTCCAAAGATATCACACTGTGAAAGATATACTTAAATTCTACAACTCAGCAACAAGAATAAAAAATAACCTATTAAAAAAGGACAAACGACTTGAAAAAACATTTCTTTCTCTACAGATACACAAATAGGCAGTAAAAACATGAAAAGGTGTTCAGTATACTAATCATCAGGGAAATGCAAATCAGAACCATAATGAGATGTCACCTCACAGTCAATAACATGGTAACATGGGTACTATTAACAAGTGTTAGCAAGGACACAGACAAACTGGAATTCTTTTTTTTTTTTTTTTTTTTTG